AACATTCCAAGAGGCACCCATTGTATTTGATTGTATTCTAACAGGACAGTAAAACATTTAATTAGCAAATGTTGTTTTCCTGAAAGCCTCTCCAAACAGAAAATTTCATGTCAATCATCAAAGAAAAACATTCTTTCTCTCCTAGGCCACCAAGGATCATATAAATTATCTTTGCATCTGCTCCAAAGGGTGATCACTACTGACACCTCTGGCAAATGTTTTATTTGTGCGGAACTCTCAGAAGATTCTGGATAGTTTCAGTATGAGTGTGGTAGACATTACTTGCAAAAATACTTGTGTACGTGGGAATGCAGTATTTAAAAAACATCTTGCTTTGGCTAGACTTCATCCATTTCTGCCAATATTTGAGGATATTTCTGTGCTTAACACTTCACTTGGCTTCCGAGACTCTTCAAACGCATCCCTTAGTTTAGGTGCCATGTTACAGTATTAAGTCTAAAGGAACGCCTTTCCGACCATTAATAGCCCTTCCCAAAGTAATTGGCATAAAGCATTTGTTTTTGAACCAGGTTTTGATATTTATACAGTAGGACAGCTGAAGAAGTAGACTTTATTGCAGTTCAGGAATAAATCATCTTGTTTGAATAGTAAGTATGTATGTAGGCAGCAAAGATCAAACATTTATATCACATTAAAGGGTCTATGGACAAATCATTCATCATGGTCCTCATTGGGTAATAGTTATTAGACAGCTGCATGTGTTATTGATTGATGACAACTAGTTATCTTGTACTAATTTACCTTTTTGGCCTTTGTTATTTATTCTTATACATTGCCACCAGAATTATGAAGTTTTGTCTATGACAGTGGCTCTCAACCTGTGGGTCACAACCCTTTGGCAGTCGAACGACCCTTTCACAGGGGTAGCCTAAGACCATCCAGCATATTAGATATTTAAATTATGATTCATAACAGTAGCAACATTACAGTTATAAAGTATCAACGAAAATAATTTTATGGTTGGGTCACAACATGAGGAACTGTATTTAAAGGACCAGAAGGTTGAGAACCACTGGTCTATGGGGTTACTGCTAGCAGCTGAATGTCAAATAGGATAAATACAGATGCACTAACTTCAGAAGGTACTTTTTAGTTAAAGTAAAATTCTATCTAAATACTGCTAGTTTTGCCCTATCTGTTTTGGTTCAGTGGATAGAGCGTTGGCCTGCAGACTGAAGGGTCCCAGGTTCGATTCCAGTCAAGGGCATATACCTTGGTTGCAGGCACATCCTCAATGGGGAGTGTGCAGGAGGCAGCTGAATTGATGTTTCTCTCACATCAATGTTTCTAACTCTCTATCCCTCTCCCTTTCTCTCTGTAAAAAATCAATAAAATATATTTAAAAAACAAAAATAAATAAATACTGCTAGTTTGTAGTTAAAATCATAGGTAATATTTCCACTGAATTAAAAACACAAGGATAAGTAAAACCATCAGGTGTTTGAGGTTATATATTTACCTTCAAATTAGGAAAATAGTTATTTTCTACTAGCTTTTATATATTAACATTCCTCTTAATATTTTCTGATGATCATATGATTGCTTACTTTTTTAATTTTCCTGGTATTAATTTCTTAATGAACTATGATAATATTCGTTTATGTTAATTATCTCCCTTTTACAGAGAGCAGTGTAATTCAAATTGGTTAAAGCTCTATGTATTGTTTCACATTTTAACGATTCTAGGTCATTTCTACAATAGTGTCATTTTGTAAAAGGTGCTTATGAAAAATTACTTGGAAAATGCAGTACTCTCTAAAAGTGACACTTTATATTTAATCTTACATTAACACAGTAGGCATAAAATTTTGGTCTCACATCTCCACACAGGCATAGTTATACAATGAGAGGCTGCTGGTGCATTCACATAGTAGAGGAAACAGCCCTCTGAATCTGCTGCCATTTTTAGAAATTCCATCAAATCATGGCCAAATCCCTCACCATCTCTAAATAGCATATTCCCTGTTTTTCATTGTTTAGGTTTATATCTGGCAAATCATACTGTTGTCCAAGGAGAATAAGAGCCTGTTAATCTCTGATTGGCTCAGCCTTAATCTAGGTTCCTAGTAAGATGTGTTGGGCTCACATGTAGCTAAAGGTGATTGGTGGGGACTCATTAGACTAAGTTTTGCTGTTACGTGTTCACAGTGTCAGAGTAATACTTGAGCCTGGGAAATAAGCTCCCCAAAGTAGCTTCAAAACTTCTTGCCCGCCCCCCCAAACCTCTATAAAAACTGCTCTCTAAAGAATTCTGTACTGTATTTCTCTTCTAAAAATACGAATCTTTCGACCAGGCTCCTGGTGACAGATGGGTTTCCTTTAAGCCAAGTTTTATTTTTGTTTTGTTATGTGTGTGTGTGTGTGTGTGTGTGTGTGTGTGTTTGTGTGTGTGTGTGTGTGTGTATCGGGGGTGGGGGGCAGGGGGGGGCAGTTCTTTTTTTTTTACATTAAACAAAAGCTAGTGATGACTTCCACATGAAAACAAAGAGTCATAGTTTCAGCCTTGAAAAAAAAAATGAGTCAGTAATAAAAAAATAAAACAATATATACAAATAAGTAAGAAAGTAAAAGAGGTTTGTGAAGAGATTAATAGAAGTGTTTCTGCTTTGACTGCTCGAACTCTGTTTCTCCCATGGTCAGGACTCTGAGTCCCAACCAAGGTCACAAGTTCGCTGCCCAGGAGTTTGTGTCCAAGAAGTGAAGGATCAAATCTTTTCTTCTCAGATGCTAAGCTAACAAATTTATGGATTCCTGAGGACATCTGTTTTGTCTTCTTTCACATCACATACAGTTTTGCAGCTATATATGAAATATGTCAGTATGAGCTTGATCTTTTATCTGTTTTAGAGTTATCATCCTTTACAGTCTCCCCCCACAGTCTCCTCACATAATTTAACCAATTGTCCCAATTATCAGAAATGTAGCAGCTTAGTGGCCTTTGTTTTAATGAAATACATATAGTTCCTCAGGACCTATGAAATCCATCTAATTTACTATTTCTTGAAAGAACTTTAGGTAATATTAAAATCATAAAGAACTTGGTTAATTAGAACCAACTTTTTAAATACAAGTCATTTCTCCTGCTCAATAATTTTTGTTCTTACATTTGTAAACATTCTCTAGGCTATCAACCATGAGCACTTTATGAGTCAATCTTCAGCCACTTTCTCATCTCAATTTGAATTTCCTTTTAACTTAGGATAATTCTGAGGCACTTTTTTTTCCTTAAAGTAGGTACATAAAAAATTAAAACATTTAAAAATGAGCTGATGTTATTAAAAGGCAAATTTGTAGAAATCTGTATGTACAACATATTCCAGCTGTTGGGATGGTTATTAATTAATCTTCCTCCTTTTTTTCACAAAGCTTCATAGAATAACTTCAAGCTATGTAATTTCTATGGAATTTAATGAAATAAAGCATTTCACCACATGAGGTAGTAATTATTTGTAAGAAAAATATTAAGTTAAATAAAAGTGAAAAGCCATTACATTTTTTACTCTATTAAGTAAGGAGCACTTTTATAGACATCGTTGGCCTTTGAAGTCATGTCTAATTTTGACCTCTCCTTTGGAGAACTGATACATCTAATTCCAGATTGGATAAATCAAAGGCGTTTATTCAAATCTTAAACTGTCCCAGAGGGTGTCAAATTATCCAGTAGTATCTTGAATGCCATTGGAATGGCAAAAGGTTACTGAGGAGTTTACACTGAATTTAACTCTTTTGAACCATAAACATTTTCATTTATGTTTTGAAAAGGCATATGAATTTTGGTTGCTCCAGAATGTTTTGAGTTATATTTTGTTTGAATAACATTAAAGACAAAAAGAAGGTCCACGTTGTGGTAAAAATTTAATTTTGTATTTTTTTTTTACTTCTTTGTTACTGAAATTTTCATGATCTTCATAAAATATGGTAAGAATTACAGTTGGACTAAGAAAAGAGCTAGAACAACTAATTTGTGTATTTTTAAATGTCAACAAGTTTATTAAAAATAAAAGAAATTAGCATATCAGCTTCAAATCCTATATAATAAAATGCTAATATGCAAATTGTCCCCTCAACCAGGAGTTCCACAGGGAGTTCGAACAGGAGTTTGACCAGGGGGAAGGGCTGGCTGACCAACCTCCCACGTCCCCTCCCCCAAGCAGGCCCAGCCCGGTCAGCCTCAAAGGGGGCCGGCCAGCTGGACCCCACCTGGGCACGAATTCATGCAACAGGCCTCTAGTATATTTATAATATTACAGAAAAACCAAGGTTAATACCATTACCAACTTTGTATGTATTTAAGCAAATTAATTTTAGGAATAATTGTATAGTTATTTCAGAAATATATACTCAGCATATATGTTATAGTGACATAGGGAAATAAATGCCTTTGAAGGACTTTTTAAGACCAACCTAATTTGACATTTGAAAGGAAAATTGGAAAGGAGATAGCCATAATGATAAATTGACTTTTTTTATAATTCTAATCTCTAGACCAACATTAATTTCCCTTTTCGTAAAATTTTTTTAATGGCCAAACTTAGAGCAAAGTATTTTTTTTCATTTCCCTACTTGATCATTATATTACTCATAGATGTTTTTCAATTTCCAAAGAAAAGCGATTAAAAAATATATGGGATAGTTAAACATTAATAAATGGAGAAATTTTATGTCTAATGTTAAAACATGAGTAGACAGATCCAGGAAACTTAAAAATTACCAGTTGATGCTTTTTTAAACTGGTCTAGATGAAGCCAAGCTAAAATATTCTGTTTTATATGGAGAAAAGTTTCACAGTCGGGTCCACCATGTCAACTTGCTCCTGTACGTTAAGTGTGATAGTAATAATGACACATTTAATATTTATTCCACTCAATTATTATAAAAATGTACGTGACAAAATATCCGGGTAATATGAATGCAAATGAACATTCAGAAGGATGATAGTTTGAAAGATTTTATTAATTTGTGTTTACTTTTATCAATAGCTCACAGTACTATGAATGACACCAATGTCCCTATGGAAACAACTGAGTGCATTCAAGGTCAAGGAGAAGGTTATCGGGGAACCGTCAATACCATTTGGAATGGAATTCCATGTCAGCGATGGGATTCCCAGTATCCTCACCAGCATGACATAACTCCTGAAAATTTCAAGTGCAAGTGAGTAAATTAAGGCAAATATTATAAATGTGCAGTAAGCTCTGGGAAAATGAGGTAGGGTGGTTACTTTTCACTAATTTCTGTGTTAGTGATCCTTAAACTTTAGTGTGCTAGGGATAATCAAAAGGCAGATTAATCTACTCAGAGATTTTGATTCCTTAGGTCAAATACGCATTTTTTAACAAGAATTCTAGGTACTTTCAAATCAGATGGTTTATGTGCCATGCTTCGGGAAGCACATATACAGGTTTCTAATCACAGCTTTGTTCTTTGCTTTGCTTTTTCTGGCTAATCTTTACCCAAGGATATTTTTCTATTAATTTTTAGGGAAAGTGGAAGAGAAAGGGAAAGACAGAGAACCATCGATGTCAGAAAAACGCAATGATTGGTTGCCTCCTGCACAAGCTCTGACCAGGGCCCTGGGCCCGGGAGGAGCCAGCAACCAAGGTGCATGCCCTTGACCATAATCAAAACTGGGACCCTGTGGTCTGAAAGCCGACGCTCTGTCCCCTGAGCCAAACTGGCTAGGGCCATAGCTTTGTTCCTTCAGGTCTAACAAACCAATAAATGGTAATAGTAACCAGTCAAATTTTAAACCAGTGCCTTTCATATTAACTTTAGGTGAGATTACATACTTTTTCTCCTGCAAAAAGAGGAGTATCTTATTTTCAGCTAATATTGTAAACTGATGAATATTAGGCCTTGAAACAAACTTTTTTTAAAATGTTAAATGAATATTTTCTTTTGTTTCTAGGTTTGCTTTTTAAAAACGGGGATGTAAAACATTTGTTTAGGTGAATTAAGCCAAAGAAACTTCCCTTAAATGTCAGTTACTTGGTTGTATGTGCCTCCTCTGTGGCTGCTTTTTTTCACCACTTGACTTGTTGGACAGACACAGCCACAATGCCATGTGTTTTAAAATTGTCCACCTTGTTATGGGGAACATAAAATGATTGCTTTTGAAATTTATAACACACGTGTCATTCATAGTGCCTTGCTGAAATAGCACCTATAAATAACATATATTGGCTTTATGTAATTGGATTTTAATAAGAGAGCTTAACATTTCAAGATGGAGAATTTTGAGCACTAGTCAGCCAATCCACTGGAGAAGGGAGATATTTTATGTTTTTCTTTTTAAGTTAATTTAATGTATTTACTTAGATAATAAATATTCATCGCTTATGAGTTTTTTCATTATTTTATAATAAGGCAATTAGAGTAGATATTCTGGGTTTATTTTCCATCATTTTTTTTTCACAGCAGTATACTTTTTATTCCTGACCTATATGTTTCACACCTTGGAAATAAATATCAAAGTAAAGAAAGCAAAGAAAATGAGAAAAGATTAGTTAAGAGAGATAGAGGAGACACTGTCAGTGCCATTCACACTTTCTAAGACTGGTAATATTCAAGTAAGAAATCATGTATGTGTGAATACCCAATTAAATTTATTTGTAAGAAAAAATAATAATGTAATTCACATATTACACAATTAAAAATTATCAAAAGTTTAGTTGTTATTTGTTATCAGAATTTAAGTTATCCTTTCTTAATTTATTTATTTGGTCAAGATTACTAAACCCACATTAAAAAAATAGTGAATTTTGTTATAAAACAGATAAAATCTGACTCAACGTTTTTCTCAGAATGTTGATGCATTTATTTGTGGTCTAACAGAGAACAGTGTGCTAATCAGGTGTCTCTGGTTGCATTAAACACCATTTGCTGCAATATGAGACTCCTTACAAATGACAATTTTAAAACTATAACTCAACCATAGTGCCCTGATGAATCTACATGAATCATATAATAATTAATTTGTTTTAGAAATCGTAAACAATTCTTTCTTCAAGTGAAGGGAAAGATCATAGAAAAAACATTTGGGCATGCCTTGACTCTCACGCTTGCTTAATCTAGATTAATGAGGTGCTTATAGATATTGATTTGTGTGTGTTAAATAATTATTTTAATTAAATTAATTGAGGTGACATCGGTTAATAGGATAATATAGGTTTCCAGTGAACAAACACCTCTTCCAAGAAGACATACAAATGGACAACAGATATATGAAAAGATGTTCAACCTCACTGGCAATTAGATTTAGGTTTTTAAAGTGGGCCTAAACTAAGACTTTCGTTAGCCTTAGAACTCTAATGATCTCGCCCTAAATTAATTTAACTAAGCAATTATTCATCTAAAATTACAAAATGGTATAAATTTTATGTAAACTTTAATGCACATATTTTGTACTGACATACATTTTTGAAACATTAGTATAAATTGTTTGAAAGAAATAACAGATTTTCTTTACCTTTCCAGTTAATAATTTTATCATTTATAAGAAGGCTAAAGGCTTAAATAGGGGTTATAACTATGGAAACTTGTTGTTCTGTGGCCTTAACTATTGGCAATCACTGTTATTATAATCTTAAATAGCAAAGTTTGTGTCAGGACCTATTTTTACTATATAAATTATTATTGATTTTATAATCAAACCCAAGCCTCTTCCTTAAGAACTTCTCAGTTTCTAATGGTTAATTTTGGTATCAATAAAATTATAGTTCTTTTTAAAAATATGTGTTTTTATTGATTTTAGAGAGAGAGGAAGGGAGAGGAAGAGAGAAAAACATAAATATGAGAGAGAAAACTTGATTGGTTGCCTCCTGCATGTGCCCCAAATGGGGAAAGAACCCTCAACTTGGTACGTACCCTGACTGGGAATGGAACTGGTGACCCTTCAGTGGACAGGACAACGCTCAACCAACTGAGCCACACCAGCCAGGGCAGTGCTTTTAATTGGACCTAAGTGATGTAAATAATGTGGTTTTATTAGATTTAATATTAATTTTGTTAAATTATTATTCACAGATATACAAAAAGACAGTGCAAGCTTGCTTTAAATTAGAGAGCATGTTTAGGAAAGCAAGTCTTAAATTCAGTATTTCATTTGAAGTGAATTTTATATTAAGTTTTGCATTAAAATACTTTTATACACAGAGAATATTTGTATAGAATTTTTCCTTACTGAGAACTCTAAATACTTAATAAGTTACTGGTAAAATAAAGGATGTATATATACTACATTGATGACTTCTATATTAGGTTTCTATGTTATAATTATGTCTTTATTTTACAAAAATATTTATAAAGATTTAGGTAACATCTCTAAGTCAAGAAATAAGTAATGTGCAATTAATATAAATATATGTAGCAAGTTAAATGAATCGAGAAAAGACAGAATTCAAAGAAGAAATAGGTATGATGTTTTTGTGTGGCAAATGTTTGATTAGGCAAAATTTTCATTTTAAGTGAGAGTAATTAATGACTATTAATAATAGCCTTTATTCTACAGAGAGATGCATGTTGTTTCTACATTATATATGAGCCGTAAAGATAATAAATAAGAGTTTAGTTTTAAAATGTGTAGCAGTTGAGAGTCCTAGACTGACAATAAGTGAGAAGAATGTAGTGAGTGGTACCAGTTCTCTCTTTTGTGAAGCAGGATTGTTTGTCTGAAACTCCAGGCTGGTTGGAGGAAAAGAATACTGACATCTGTCAGCATGTTTTTCAGTAATGGGGCAGTGTCCGTTGCATATATTGAATTCTAAATTGTTCTAACTATCCTAAAACTAAAACTTAGAACTCTAATTATTGCCATGCACACATTTGGGGGTGTCTAGAGGTACAGGAGTGCTGATTCCATCGATGTAAGAACTTGGGCAATTTACATTAACATGCTTATTCTCAATAGGGACCTAAGAGAAAATTATTGCCGAAATCCAGATGGGGCTGAGTCACCCTGGTGTTTTACCACTGATCCAAACATCCGAGTTGGCTACTGCTCCCAAATTCCAAAATGTGACGTCTCGAGAGGACAAGGTAATAGTTGACATTTTGCAATATGGGCATGATTAAATTCAGGGGAACTGCCTAAAGGGAGCTCACAACTTACAGCAGAAAGCCTACTTCTCATTGCACTGCTTTTGTTGAAAAGCAATGTCCCCAAGTCTAATTTCTTTTTCACATTCATTTGTTCAACGTTTATTTACTTATTGCCTGTATATCAGTGCCAGACACAGTTCTAGGCACTGGAGATATACTAGGAAACAAAACAAAATTCTTTGACCCCCTTGAAACTAAATTCTGGTAAATAGAAAACAAGCAAAGTAAAAACGAGGTTGGGATAGTAAGTCAGTTTGTGGTAGTGCTAGAGAGAAAAGTGTCCCAGTTAGAAGAGAGGGGTTTTGCTACTTTATATTTTAACTTGAGGCCCAGTGCACAAATCTGTGCATGGGTGGAGGAGTCCCTCAGCCTGGCTGGCGATCAGGGCCCATCAGGGCAGGCCAGGGATAGAGACTGTGGGAGGTTGACTGGCTATGGGAGTGCACTGACCACCAGAGGGCAGCTCCTGCATTGAGCGTCTGCTCCCTGGTGGTCAGTGCACATCATAGTGACCATTTGACCGGTCATGTGGTCGATAGGTCCTAACAGTCGCTTAGGCTTTTATATATATATAGAATTGTTTGGGAAGATCTTACATATTAAGAAGACCAGAAAGACATCAGGGAGCACATGTGCCATATGCATCTGTTTATAAAGGGCATTCTAGATAGAAAAAATCTACAATTGCAAAGAGATGGAAGAGTGCTTGAAAAGTTTAAAGAAACAGCTCATCATTTTGGCTGGTAGAGACTGAGCAAGGTAGAGAGTCTCAGGAGATGAGGTTATAGAGCGGCGGTTCTCAACCTGTGGGTCGCGACCCCTTTGGCGGTCAAACGACCCTTTCACAGGGGTCGCCTAAGACCATGCTGCATATCAGATATTTACATTACTATTCATAACAGTAGCAACATTACAGTTATGAAGTAGCAACGAAAATAATTTTATGGTTGGGTCACAACATGAGGAACTGTATTTAAAGGCCCAGAAGGTTGAGAACCACTGTTATAGAGCAATTGGCTAAAATCGCATAGGCCTTGTAGGAGTTGGGAGGATTTACACTTTTATTCTGAAAAGGAAGGAACTCTTGTAGGGTTCTGAGAAGAGAAATTAAATGACCTGTCTGACTTAAATTTTAACTGGACGATCCTGGCTGCATTATGGAAAATAGCCAGAACTTCTGACAAGGGCTCAAACAGGGTAATCAGTTGAGTGATTGTTTCAGTAATTTAGGAGATGAGAGTTATGGGGACCTGGGTGTTAGCAGGGGAGATGGTATGTAACAATGGGGTTTGAAATAAATCACCATTGTACTTGAAAACATAGGTGCCATTGAAGGTAATTGTTTCAGGAGCAGTAGTAGAGAAAAGTCAGATTGAAATAGATTTTAAAAAGAAATTATTTGTCAAAGATTATTAATAATGTTAGGTTATGGACATGTATTAATATATAGTAAATTGAGAGCTCTGATTTTTGAATAATTATTTTTTTCACATAAATTTAATTACGATGGCTATGGTCAATCCTAAATCATCCTAAAAAGTCCAAGCCAGAGTCAAAGCTTCATTTCATAGATTTATTGTCCTATACATACTCATCTATCCTTTAACCTCTTTCTCAGTGACATTTTTCACGAACAACTCTGAACACAGTTGCAGAGAGAAGAGGGGAGGAGTCCCTTTTCAGTCAATTTCACTGTTCTTTGGCAGATTTTAAAGGTCATTTGGAAATAAAGTTAAAACCAATGATTAAGGGAGTCTTGGTATCTACTGGATGTTTTCTTCCTATCTTGTTCATTAAAGCTATTACTGATAATTTGTGATCAGAGAGGCAAAAAAGAGCAATTGCTTGATAAGCTTCTGGTATATATGAAGACACTTTTGTGTACAGTACATATATATTACTTACTGAAAGATCAAGTAATATAGAATGAGAGTTTTGTATTTTAGAAGTTACATAGATGTTATTGTTTATCTAGTAAGTGCACAAATTAATAGACAAAGAAATTAGTTTTATAGAATTTAAATAACTTAGCTAAATACTCAGATTAGCACAGCTGTGACTGAATATAACCCTCCTTAAAATGATCTTTCCATTATTCCATGTTTCATCTTTTTTATTAATACTTTAACATTTATTGCATTGTTTTTCTTTAATAATATATTGTGCTGATACAGTACAACAAAGTGCAGGCTCTGTGGGGCAATTTAAAAATGAAGTCCTACTTAATAGACAATTCAACATACAGCTGTGAAATTTTAACACTGTTATGCTATCATTTGATATTGCCAAGCTAATGGCACGTGCGCGCGTGCACACACACACATACACACACACACAAGAATGTTGCTGTTATCCTCTCCATATACCAGAAAATATAAATTTCACATATAGTTTGATAAGTTAGAAATTTCTTCTCAAATCTTGCAACACCTGAATTAGCTTATGTAAAAATGCTCTTCTAATTGAATTTTAAATAACTTTGTTTAAAAAATAAAAACTTAAATTACAGACTTTCTTTATAAATGTTGATAAAACACAATTTATTAGATTATGTGAGATACACTTAAGAGAATTCATAAGTCCACATTTATATCACTCCTTTGACTACTAACAGTAGTATTGCTACCACTACCATTGCTATTACTGGCAGTAATAATACCTAAATGGAAGGAGCAGGGGAGAAGGAAATATACATGTATAAGAAAATGATGACTAAAAAAGAAGTGTGGGAAATAAAAAAATAACCATTTTAAAACCAGCATAGTACTAATTCACGCAAAATTAACCAAAGTATGCCTAAGCCATTAAGTGACTATTACTTGGCAGTATGTTTACTTAGTCTCAAAGGCCTCAACATTTTTTGTTTTTGTTGTTATATAAAAAGAAGTTTTTCTTTTACACCACTTAATGAAGATATCAAACTCTCCAGTAATAATGATAAAAGCTCTGAAAAGAACAAAATATCATCTATTCAATATTCCTGTGTTTAAATTGATTTTATTCATGAGCAAATAAAAGATGAAATTAAAGAGCATTGGCTTGGCCTGGTTGATGTGGCTAAATGTTTGAGCATAGACCCCAGAACCAAGAGGTCATTGGTTCTATTCCTGGTTTGATTCCCAATCAGGGCACATTACCCGGGTTGTGGGTTTTAGGCTCAATCCCTAGTAGGGGGTGGGCAGGCAGCAGTGCTCGCTAACATACGGGGATGTTTCTCACATCTATCTCTCTATACCTCATCCTTCCTCTCTTTAAAAATCATTTAAAAAAAAAACACCCAACTTATTAAAAATCAACAAAACACAGCTGGCTTGGGTGACTCAAAATCCCAATCACATGAAAGATAAAATTAAAACACAAGAACTGTGATGAGTATATGAGTGTTCATTATGTCATTCTTTTCTGAAGAAAATGTTGGGAAATATATATGTCATTCTAAAAATTCCCACTTTAAGTGTCCTTAAAAGCCACCTGTTTAATTTTTTTTAAAATGTGCAATTTACTGCATAAAATCTCATTTTAATGAAAAAGAAATTTGGCTGAAAATAAATAATTTGTACAGATTTTAGAGTGATTTAATTCTTATGTTGATTTTTGTGAATGTATATGTTGTTTTTGTTCTATCTGTATTCCCTAGTATTCACTAGTTTTTTTTTCCATGTATTTATTTATGTTTAGATTGTTATCGTGGAAATGGCAAAAATTATATGGGCAATTTATCCAAAACACGATCTGGACTAACATGCTCAATGTGGGACAAGAACATGGAAGATTTACACCGGTGTGTAAATTTCTTCTTACAATATATAGTATCCTATATAATAAAGAGGTAATATGCAAATTGACCATCACACCCTCGCACAAGATGGCCACCTCATGTGGTCAAAGATGGCCACCACAAGATGGCTGGCAGGGGAGGGCAGTGGGGGGCAACCAGGCCAGCAGAGGAGGGCAGTTGGGAGCGACTGGGCCTGCAGGGGAGGACAGTTGGGGGGGACCAGGCCTGCAGGAGAGGGCAGTTGGGGGGTGATCAGGATGGCAGGGGAGCAGTTAGGTGTCAATCAGGCTGGCAGGAGAGTGGTTAGGGCGTGATAAGGCTGGCAGGAAGAAGCAGTTAGGGACAATCAGGCAGGCAGGCAGGCGAGCGGTTGGGAGCTAGCAGTCCTGGATTATGAGAGAGATGTCCAACTGCCAGTTTAGGCCCGATCCCTGGATGCGGTTGTGTGGGGTCGGGCCTAAACATGCAGTTGGACATCCCCCGAGGGGTCCCAGATTGGAGAGGGTGAAGGCTGGACTGAGGGACACCCCCCTCACCCCCCCCCCATGCACAGATTTTGTGCACCAGGCCTCTAGTGTAGTGATAACAGTAATAGGTATATGTAGCTATGCACATTGATATTTCTTTCCATTATTTATATATCATCATAAGCTAACAAAAACATTAGATTGATTATTCATGCAACTCAATTTAATATTTTATCTCTAAGTAGCAAACTTTTAAATAAGAAATTCAAACCAGTACATATTTATTGAGCACTTACTGTATGTTCTGCTTTGTGATAGGTGCCATGGGGAACATTAACAAAAATTGGGTATACATTTTGACTCCATCTTTATGGAGGATATGGTCATATTGAGAAAATAATTTACATTACTTAATAAGACCAGGCATAATTAAGTGATAAATTTTATGTTTCATGTAGTACATTATATTATTATGTTCTCATAATTAATTATTAATATTCATAAAAATTGAGTAAGTTACCATTTTCATGTACATATATACCTTAATATCCAATTAATTCCTAAAAACTTAGAAAGACATATAAAATGTTTCTAAAATAAAAGGAATGTAATTGGAAAAAATTCTATATAGTTCAAAGAAGTAGAGATTTTAACATTGGACATATTCACAGAAAAATAAGTTATCTTCCACTCAAACCTAGCAATAGTGTTAGTGTGTTTGAAATTACAAAAGAAAGGCCATAGTTGTGACATAAAATATCCCAGAATATACGCATAGTTACATTAGATGAGTTATCAAACTGACTCATTCTATATGCGTGAATAAGAATTTTAGCACTCAGAGAAATTGAGTCATTTTGCCTCCAGCCGCACTTTAACTTTTAAAGCCTTTATTCTCTTCCAAAATGTACTTACTACTGGATGATAATGTTTCAATTAATTTACTTCATAAATAGTGATAATTCTAAGGTAGTGTTCTCTAACATAAATATGCATTTCACATATGTAAGCTTCATATGTACTTTTAAGTTTTCTAATAGACACATTGAAAGAAGTAAAAATAAACAGGCAGGATTGTTTTTGTAAATATAGTTTTTATTATAAATCAAATATATCTAAAGCTTTTTCATTTTAATATGTATTCAATATAAAATTATTAATGAGATCTTTTACATTTTTATACTAAAATGTAAAACCTTCAAGATCTGGCCTATATTTACAATTATAGCACCATTCAATTTGGATTAGCCACATATCGTTTTCTCAGTAGCCATATGTAGCTAATAGCCACTGTATTGGGCACAGTAGCTCTAGGACTTCAAGCATAAGCAGAATTCTGTCCTCATAGATCTTACATTCTAGTATGTAATGCCAGAAGACAGAAAAAGCCAATATCATATTGTAAAAATTATGAAAATAGCATATTTTATGCTGTGGGAATGCAAAGAAGTGCCACTCAAACCTTTGATCGTCAGGAAGACTTCTAGAGGAAGGGACATTAGCTGTGACATGAGATAAGTAGAAATTGGTGAAAGGAAATGTGGGAGAAAGAGTGAGTTAGGCAGAAGGTATAGTTTGTTCAAAAGCCTAAAGATTGAATTGTTCGAAAATCAGAAATAATTTTGGACGTTTGAAACAACATAATTTGGCCACTGTCCACAGCCAAGGAATTCCCCAGTGGCAAGACTATATAGAGTCCTGGAAGCTGTTTAAAGAAGTTTGGATTTTATCCTGAGTATTAAAGGGATTCATTAATGAATTTTAGGCAGGAATCAGCATGATTAAAATTAAATGCTAATTTGAACACTGCTATTTTAAAACTCATTTTTAGAAATACATAGGGGTGGATCTAGCTCTTATGGACAGACCTGTGAGAGACAATTGTACTAACTCTGCCTTTACTGATTTCTCATTAGATGGTCAATGTTTTTATGAGGGAAGTATTTACACCACAAAAATCAGTAGGGACAACGTATGAAGACTCCCTTCCTACACACTTCAGAGTTCCAGTTGTTAAATATTTAGCAGCATATTACTGGAAAGATGTAACATTTACTTAGATATTGCAATGGTTATAACTATTAATTTACTAAGCTTAAGATTACTTTTGGAAATAGTTAAAAGTCACTTGGAAATAATTTGTAGGAAATTGATGAATGATTAAGTTACGTGGTGGCACTTAGGTTATATATGTAAATCACATAGAATCTGGCACATAGTATTTATTATATGTGTTTGCTGTTGTTATTGCTCCAGAAAATAAACTTGAGTTTGAAAAGATGATCTAAGTTTCCATGTCCAAAGCTCTTCCCAATTTTTAAAATTACATATTAATTACAGTTAAGATGGTAGTAATAAATAATCCAAAACAAATCCAGTTAGATGTATAGTTTTCATGATTTGGTTAGGATGGCCATGTGGAATTTGACTCCACTAATATTACTGAAGTAAATATAAATATCAATCTATAATAATAAAAGCATAATATGCAAACTGACTGAACAGCAGAACAGCAGAACAACTGCTGTTATTATTAAGGTCCACAATTTACTATGTGTATACATTTATAAAATTTAAATATTTAGTAAGGTACAGTAATGATATTGTACCTTATGTACAGTATATATATATATATTTCACATAAGCAGGTATATAAGCAGGTATGGTCTTCTATACAATATTTTTGCTTTTCTTTTATAACAAATTTAGTGAAGATGTAAAATATGAAAGGCCAAAATATTACTCAGTTATCTGTCAAGAAATCACATTTTGTAACTCTATGACCAATGATATTTTATAACTTAACTATTTTATTAGTACATTGTTATTAATTTCTCAATGTTTCTTCTTGTATTTTGGCAAAGTTATTTTGCAAGAGATGCTTCATATGTCACTGAAACAAAAAAGTACTTTGCAATGGATTATGTTTCCTAGTTATTTTATAATATTGATGTTCTTTGTCATCTGCTCTCTTTTTTTGCCAGTGTTCATTTCCATGCACAGGTATATTGTTGCCTTACCACTGCAATTATTAAATAGAAATAAAGTCATAAAATCTTTCATCATTTAACTATGCTAATTATTCAGCCCTATTCCATATTCCTGAGCTAGAGAACATGCTTCCAAACTGTAGAAACAAAATAAATATCAAACAAAATAATCAAAATTTGTATCAGTTGAAGCTTGTGCCATCTCTCTAATGAAAGTTATGTGCTCGGGTTTTATCTTCTTGGTGACATTTTGGGGTTTTTTGGACAAAATGAGCATCTTGTGATGTTCAGAGTATTTTGTTTATGCAGGCATATCTTCTGGGAACCAGATGCTAGCAAGCTAAATAAGAATTACTGTCGGAATCCTGATGATGATGCCCATGGTCCCTGGTGTTACACAGGAAATCCTCTCATTCCTTGGGATTACTGCCCTATTTCTCGTTGTAAGTATATTTAATGATCTTTTTCAGGTGAAATATTTTAAATATACTGCATCTTCTCTAAATTGATATCGTAATCAGAGGTGAAATAATAATATAGGAGGAATGCATTTGATCCCTTAATGAGAATGTACTACACACACACACACACACACACACACACACACACACATTGAGGATTGGGCATGCCCTCAACCAGGAATTGAACCGTGACCTCCTAGTTCCTAGGTCGATGTTCAACCACTGAGCCATGCCAACCGGGTCATTCTGCTGACCTTTTAAAAGAAGACCTTCTTTCCTCAGAAGATTCTCAAATTGAATCCAGAAACAATCATTGGTCATGGCTCTAATATGACTGCTCTAGGAAGAACTCCCCATTCTCATCACCAGTACTATCTGTTCAGCCTTTGAATGTAGCAGAGCTTTCAGCAAAGGCCCCCAACCCACTAACCATCCCAAGAAGAGACCTGAGGTAGTGGTGCTTCTATCTTCTTAGTTATTTAGCCTAAGACTAAGAAGTATGGAGCATTCCATCCACTCTTTGAGCCCAAGAGAATTTTGTTAAAAACGTATTAGTGTGCCGAAACCGGTTTGGCTCAGTGAATAGAGTATCGGCCTGTGGACTGAAAGGTCCCAGGTTCGATTCCGGTCAAGGGCATGTACGTGGGTTGCGGGCACGTCCCCAGTAGGGGATGTGCAGGAGGCAGCTGATCGATGTTTCTCTCTCATTGATGTTTCTAACTCTCTATCTCTCTCCCTTCCTCTCTGTGGAAAATCAATTAAAAAAAAAAGAGTATTAGTGCATAAAGTAAAAGATACAGTGGGGCCTTGACTTACGAGTTTAATTCGATCAGTGACGGAGCTCGTAACTCAAATTACTCGTATGTCAAATCAAAAAGTGAACTAGTGAGACACGTGATGCTGGGATGATGTGGCGTTCACTGTGATGTTCGCTGCGCCAACTAGCGGTGGGGTATCTGAAGCTGGCTCGTAACCCGAATTTTAGCTCGCAACTCAAAGCAAAAAATTAGCCGAGAGATGGCTCATATCTCGAAAAACTCGTTAGTTGGGACACTCGTAAGTCAAAGCCCCACTGTATATGTAAAATATATGTGTGATACACTTCACATAAAAGAGCACCTATATATAAGTAAGAAAAAGATAACTTAGGAGAAAAGTAAAGAAAAAATGCTCAAAAATAAATATAATTGATAAATAAATATTAAAACTTAATTGTAAGAAAAATGAAATTATAAAAACATAAGAAATAATTTCCACCTATCAGGTTGGCAAATAAGAAAATGGTTGTTAATGCCCAATAATATTGAGAGCCTGGGTGATCAACTCTCTAAATTCTGCATTACTTTGTGAATGGGAAAGCTTATCTGGAAGTAGTATGGAGAAATTTTGTAACCTCAATACTAGCGACACTGTTTGCTAGATAATTCTTGTTGTGGGAGGCTGTCTTGTGCATTATAAGATGCATGATAGCCTCTACCCACTACATACCAATAGTACTACCAATACATCCAGTCATGACAATCAAAAATATTTCCAGACATTGCCAAATGTCCCCTTGGTGGTGATGGTAGGGGAGCATGGGAAAATACCCCCATTGAGAACAACTTATATGGAAATATATCCTCAATATATTATTGAATGAAAAAGTCTTATTATAAAACTGTACAGTAGCAAGAGACCATTGTACTATACTATGTATCTCACAGCTCCATGTTTATAGCCAACATCTTTAAACACTGTTAAACTACCTTCCTACTTAAAAAAGGACATACTTTGATAAGTTCAGTACTAGTCTGTTTTAAGAATGTTTTACATGTGAGACAAACCAGCAGCAAGTACCTTGAAAATAACAGTAAAAGCACCCTTTTTAAAAGAGGCAATTGTTTGAAGAAATGTTAGCTTTAAAACATGAAATATAAACAACTCTATATTTTTCCTTAATATATGACAAAATTAAAGAGATAATTTCTCACCTTAAGTGGAAACATTGTGAAATTTTAGCATAAAATGGTAAACCTTAAACACAATGCTAATCAAGTATATCTATCACTATTTTTAATAAAGAAATTCTCTATAATAATAAATAAACATGTTTGCAAAGGAATATTATTAATATTATTATATTTCATCTCATCAGCTCTAATCATAGCCTTTCAAATTCATTAGTGTTTCTCTGGTGTTCTGTTTTTCCCACATTAGGGTTTGCGTAGGTCCTGAAAATGTTCTTTTATAGAAGATGTCTTTCAAGTTTCAATGCTAAAACAAACAAGCAAACAAACAAACCTACTTCTTTGGCACAAAAAACTTAAAAAATAGCCAAAGGAAGTAATTTTTCTAAATATTACTTTTACCTCATGGAAAATTTTTGTGAAGTTTCTGTGATTAAGAATAAGGATGTCCAGATGGCATGGCTCAGTGGTTGAGCATTGGCCTATGAACCAGGAGGTCATGGGTTCAACTCCTGGCCAGGGCACATGCCTGGGTTGTGGGCTGAATCCCTACTAGGGAGCATGGAGGAGGCAGCCAATCAATGATTGTCTCTCATTAATGTTTCTATCTCTCTCCTCCTCATCCTTCCTCTCTGAAATCAATAAAAATATATTTTAAAAAAAGGACTAACAAAGGCTAGTAGACTCTCCAATGAGAAGGAAAAAAAGTCAATGATCTGGCTTTTAAAAAAGGTTCTAATGCTTTTTCTACAGAATTCCAGATATGTAAAAATCCCGGTAGCTTAGTTTTAGCACATAGAGTAAAATGCTCCAATAGAATCCCAGGGAACTGAGCTTTGGATTATAAACCTAATGGACACAGGGCTCTAATAATTTAAAAGTTTTAAAAACATATTTCCAACTAACATTTTAAAACTAAAAGTTGTCTTGTGCTATTGAAAGACTTCAAGGTGTTGCTAGTATTTGATTAAATGCTATTGCAGATAACTCATTTTTACTTCAATTTATTTCGAACATTAATTTTAATAAATATTTTTACACTGTCATCTTTCTAACTAATATTTATAGCCAGGATTTATTTACATTTTACCACTGTTGAAAGGCTAATAAAATTTATCTTTAGAAAATTTGAGGTTGTATTTATTTAACTGCAGAGACTATATAAATCATTTTTGCACAGTACAATTGTGGTACAAATCATGTAAAGGTTTTATTACTTTAAAAAATGCTTATAAAATTATACTTAACATATATTTTTAAAATCAAATATGCAGAAATAAGACTGGAGAAATGTTTAGACATTTATCTGTACACAAACACAATATAGCTTAGAAAAAAATCTTAGTTTTTAACAACTAAGAGTGTAGTGATTAAGAGCTTTATCTCTGACCTCAGGGTAAGAATTCCAACCCTATTACTATAAGTGCCTTGGGCAAGTTATTACATTTAAGTTTGTATTTATTTATTCATTTTTAACAACTTAAAATTGAGTTACTACTATGTGCAAAGTCCTATATAACACACTAGGTATCCTATATAATAAAAGGGTAATATGCAAATTGACCCTAACAGCAGAACAATTGGGAATGACTGGTCACTATGACACACACTGACCATCTGGGGGCAGACGCTCAATGCAGGAGCTGCCCCCTGGTGGTCAGTGCGCTCCCACAGGGGGAGCTCTGCTCAGCCACAAACCAGCCTGACGGCTGCCAGCACAGCAGTGGTGGCAGGAGCCTCACCTGCCCCCTCAGCAGCTCTAAGGATGTTTGACTGCAGTTAAGGCCTGCTCCCCGCTGGCAAGTGGACATCCCCCGAGGGCTCCCCGGCTGCCAGAGGGATGTCTGACTGACAGCTGAGGCCTGATCTCCTGGGGAGCAGGCCTAAGCCAGCAGCTGGTCATCCCCCATGGGGTCCCAGACTGTGAGAGGGCACAGGTCAGGCTGAGGGACACCCCCAAGTGCACAAATTTTTGTGCACCAGGCCTCTACTACAACAATATAAACAATGTTTCTTACCTTTACATAATTTTCAGTGTAGAAAAAAGACATTTATGTAAATAATTGCAAATATAATTATTTAATAAACATATATTAATATTAAAATAAATAATGAAAATGGGAGCAATCAATATCTGCCTGGAGAAATATGTGATGTTCATAAAGTTTGAACCTGACTCAAAAATTTAAGAATATATTAAAAGGTTTCTTTTGTTTTCAATAACAGTTTATGGTTTGAATCACAACACATAAATACAACTTTTATAATTGACATGTTTTCCTTCTTCAAAATATAAGTTGAATCAATACATATATTTTTTTATATTTGGGTACTATGGTGGCAATAGTGGGAAAGAAGTAAAAGAGGAAAATTGAGAATAGTATTTGATGGTAAAATGGAAAAGGCCTAGAGAGCAGTTTTTCAAGGTTTTGCTCAAAATGTACAACAGAAGAAACTAGAATGCTTTTTTAAAATTCATAATCTAGCCTTCATCCCAGAATCTCCAGAAATCTGACTCTAAGTGGTATATCAGCTAATTCTAAAGTGGGGGAAATATTTGCTTAACAGGAAAATGTATATATTTTCAATAATTAATTAATATTAATATCAATAATATTAATTAATTATTATTTAGGTCTACATTTTACTATGTGTATACATTTTTAAATTTTAAATATTTTATTAAGGTACAAATGAACTAAATACTGCATTCTTCTATTAGCTTGATTCTTAGAAATAGAAAACTTGATATGCAATTAAGGATAGAATAGTCTTTTTCATCAGGACAACATAAGAAATAACTATAATTTTTATTTTAGAAATTTTAAGTACTTAACTTGAGTGGAAAAACCACTGTCCTTGATGTTTTAATGAGCCACAGTCAACCTCAATCTTTATTTGTACTATGAACTAAAACCTTGACCTCAGCTGACTCTAAGACAAAACCCTCCCTCAGGATAAGCTAAAGGGAAAGTAAATAAGGAGATTTATATGTTTTCCTTTACCTTTATTCATTTAAACTACCTAGACTTGGTAAATGAGCTTAAGTAAAAACTCTTGAGATTCTCTATAAATAACAATCAAATTTGCATCTATTACAAAGGAGTCCATATGCCATTATTCTTTTGTTGTCGGTTTATTTGAGCTCAGAGTATTTCCAGGGATTAACAAGCAGCTGGGTCTAAACAGTGCTTGACTAAATGCCATCACTTCTGAACAGTCGGACATTAAACTCCAGGAAATATATTGTGCCTCATTTGTTACTGCATAAGTACTCTCAAATCCTAGCATCTTCTAAGCCTTTTTTTTTTTTGTAGCAATTAAGCCTCAGTAAAGAAGCTATGAAAAAGGAGTAAGTTATGAAGTTTTAGTTAGAATTAATTTCCAGTTTCTAGTGTTCTCTTTTTTTCTATATTTTTTACTATGATCTGGAAAAAACAATTTTGAAATATTCTAAGGAAAAACGTTATATTGTTATTCTTTTTTCCCATTGATGATTTTGATTTCTACCTTCTGGAATTCTTAAAGTTTTCTGAAGCATGTGAAGTTTCAATTATCCTCCACTGTATTTTAAAAAAAATAATTTTCAGAAAAAATATAAATGGACCACATTACGGTAAAAACATAATTTATCGATATGAATGGCACAAGCAAGCAATAATAAGTATTACTGCTATTAAATGAAATGGTCCTTGTGTATGATGTTGGGGGATCTTGGTAGGATGAGGCAGCTCCTTGATGCCAGCAGACACCCTCCACAGTCATAAAACAGGGTTTCCCCCACAATACCCCCTACCACTAGGCACACACCTTCAATATTGTCCAGTAAAAGTGACACATAATTACTCAAAAGAGTACTATTACATTTTATCTTTGAATAAAATGTCAATAATTTTAGTAAATTATCCAATTCATGGACATTTCAATTGCAGTATATAGCTTTGGTTTTATATTATAGAAATAAGTCTGTATGAATTATGTTTACATGTACATACTTATTTTTACAGGTGAAGGTGATACCACACCTACAATAGTCAACCTAGACCGTAAGTAATATTTTGTATATCTGTGTCTCTATGTGTCAGAAATGAGTCATTACTTTCTTCATAGGAAAATACTTTGTCACTATATTAACTTCCATTATAAAAATAAGTTAGTCTATTTTTGCTTAATTTTTTTATGTGCATATGTATAGGGTTACAAAGGTAACTGCATATTAAATATCAAAATTCAATTCTGTAGCAGACATTGTAAGAAGTTACATTTAACATAGAAAAAGCCATTATATTTCTTTTAATTCTGGCCAAAACGAATGTATGGACCTTTACCCTCTTTTTAAGTTAATAAAGATGCAAAAATCAGAAGGAATGCAACCAAAAGGTTGGGAAATTATGCAGCACCTCCATCTTGCTCTATTTTTAAAGCTCTTTGCATGCCCTGCTAGGCCAAAGATGACACAGCCTGAGAGGCTCGGTCAATCCTCCATTTAAGAAAATCTGTTGAGAGCTACTAGTTTTTAATTTTTGCATATTTTGGGGGCTAAAGGAAATCATTCAAGTGTTTTGATTTAAGAGGCCACTTGCTTTGTTCCAGGCTGAAGAAGGTAATAGAGGTCATTTTTAGACTAGTTGCTAGGATAAGGCAAGGGACAAAGAAGAGGGTCAGGAAAAAGTTTAAATCAGAGAATTCTGTATTGTCATTTGGATATAATGATTTGAACATAGTAATGATGTCATTTGGATATAATATCAATACTTCAAATATTGATAACCTAATTTAAAATTGCTCTGCCTTCTCACTTTACTATTTCAGAAATAATAAACCCAATATAGTTTTGGTTTGTTTGTTTCATTCAGGCTATTGATTTGCGTTGGCATTTAGAAACTACCACCATAAATGACATAGTTAAATTTTATGTTGAGGTTGGTGGGGAAAATACAATCACTAAGAGACATGGAGAACTGTTCCTACTTAGTGCTGGGTGAGGAAAGCCACTGTCATGCTCATGGCCATGCTGTTGACCTTGAGTTGATTAGTTTTTCTGTGTTATTCATCTAAGATGAGGATCGCAAACATGTGGGGCCTGATTTGGCACTGTAGCCACAATACATGTTCACCCTTAAATGTTCTTCTGACAGAATTATAGTAGTTACATTTGCCTAGGTACCTTTGCTGAGAGGCACAGTATTAAAAAATGTTTTGTTAAAATGTTAAGGGGAGTGGGGTAAGGGTGACTGGATAAAGAAAGTGAAGGAAACAGCTGAAGAATATATGTGCATACCCCATGGACATGGACAATCATTTGTAAGGGCCAAGGAAGGTGGAGGCAGGAGAGAGTGGAGGTGGGCAAATGGGGGGAGGAGGACTCCTGTAATAATGTCAACATTAATTTTTAATTAAAAATGTATGTATATAAATTATGTATATAAGTTATGTTTGGTTCTCTTTTTAGATCCTGTCATATCTTGCGCCAAAACAAAACAATTACGAGTTGTAAATGGAATTCCAACACGAACAAATGTAGGATGGATGGTTAGTTTGAAATACAGGTAATTATTAATGACACAAATTATATGCATTTGGCTTATTTGCAGAAGATGTATTCCCAGCAGTATGGCCATATGTGGTCATGCAGATTGTGCCCTCCCCATGGGCACTCCTATGAGGGGGGCTCCAGAGAGGATCAATGACATTCTGCTTGCCAAACAACCCTATATTTTGCAATTTGTTCCTCTTCATTATAGTATCTTTTTATTTATTTTTTATTAAATTGATTGGGGTGACATTGGTCAACATGAACATATAGATTTCAAGTATGGGTTTCTATGTTATAAGATCTGTATATTGCACCATGTGCCCACCACCCAAAGTCAAATCTTCTCCTGTCACCATATATTAGGGAACCCTTCTGCCCCCACCCTCTTTCTGTCCCAACCCACTACTGTTTGTGTTCACCAGTTTCAGTTTTGTATCCCACATATGAGTGAAAATATATGATCCCTAGGTTTTTCTGACTGACTTATTTCACTTAGCACAATGTTCTCAAATGGCGCTATTTCATCCTTTCTTATAGCTGAGTAGTATTCCATCATTTATATGTATAGTGCCCTTTTAAATGTTCACAAAAGTCCCATATGTGTTGGCATTGCCCCTAATTACAAGTGGCACTTCAATTCTGATTAAGCAAAACATACAGAACGTACTTATACCTTGATATCACCAGACTAGTTATAATGCATATGCTATTAATTTCCCAGTCTAGAATATTGTGACTTTATTTTCTAACATGCCTATTCATAATTATATCAGAAATTTTATATTTCTCTTAAAATTTTGAATTTTCTTTGTCATACTAATGAGAATGGCACTAATTTTAAATTCTAGAATATTTTGCCATTGAGAAAAATATTAATAAACAATAGTGATGGCCCTAGCCGGTTTAGCTAAGTGGATAGAGTGTCGGCCTACAGACTGAAGGGTCCCAGGTTTGATACTGGTCAAGGGCACATGCCCAGGTTGTGAGCTCAATCCCCAGTGGTGGTCATGCAGAGGCAGCCAATCAATGATTCTTTCTCATCATTGATGTTTCCATCTCTCCCTTTCCTTTCCTCTTTGAAATCAATAAAAATAAAGGGGTGAGAACAAAGCATAAATATTAAAAACAAAACAATAGTGAGGTTGAGTATTCCTGCTATTGTAATATTTAGTGTAGATAAAAAATTCTGGGCATGTCTATTTCCCAATGCTTTAAAGAATGAATGGTATGTTCTATGTGAAATAAACTATGCAAAATATACTGTTATACAAAAATTAAGGTTAGTAATTCTGTTGTAAGAGTTTTATATTGAAAATGAGAGGTAACTTAAAATATGATCTTAAAACTTTCTATATACTACATGCATTATACCATATGGTAATCAAAATGTTAAAATATTTTTGTCAATACCCATCTTTACTAGAACCTCATCACAACGAACCTGAATTCTAACCACATTTTCTATTGTTTTTAAGACACCTTACATTTCCCCTCTAAGCCTTTGTGCTGTACTTCCCACTACAGTTGTAGCTTTCTTCCTCCATATTTTGTGCTTGGAAAGTCCTTCTCATTCTTCAAATACCAACTCAGATATAACTTGTTTTGGGAAACCCTCCCTGTTCCTTGAACTATAGCCTCCTAGAGTAGAGAAAGAAAGTACATATTTTACTACAATGAAGTGATATTAAAGTAGAAAAGAGACAACTTGAAACCGAAGTTCTTTTATAAATAAGACAATTCTTAAAAACAGAATCCTTTGATATATACCAGGTAGAAGATGGTCTAAAGTTCTCTTCTAGTATGTCTTTCTTTTGAGGAATAAATGACCAACTTTTATAAATATGTGTAATGATAATTGTAGGGTAGCTGTCCTAGGTGTGTAGTACTGAAATAGAATTGTGAAACTCACTAGAATTTTAAAGCTAATTGTACAAGATGAAGATTTAATGAAGGCTGCAAAATTTAGGGGGGAGTGTTTCATTCTATTTATTATAGAAAATGTTTCAAAAATCCACATCTCTAAATTAATTATTCTTTGCAAATCTCATAACTCCATAAAAAAGAGGTATGCACATATGAATTTATTATTACCAATACAATATATAAGGATACTCCTTTGGAAGTTTCTGAGGAGAAGTAGATAACATTGTTTTTCATTAGATCAGAGTACTATAAACTTTTAGGGGAAAAATATTTTTCTTTTAAATCCAAGTTCTCTAGTAACAACAGCTGTTTAGCTATTCTTCCAAAACACATACTGAGAGGAACAGAAATTAAAACTCGATATATACTCTTATCCTCCTGTGTGGTACAGGCCATAAATAACCATGGTCTTAATCTGGGAATCTTTTGCTATTATTCTCTCAAGCACTGAACATCTGTACACTTTGGAAATGTAAATTGTGAAAAGTTCTACTTTTTTTTTTATTTCTCTGCCAAAAAACAATGGATTTACAGATTTTGGATATCACCAAATAAATGTACTAGTGTTTATTATTCTCCACAAATATCTTAAAATTTTTCCAGATGATATGTCTTGCAAACTTGCTTTAAGATATGTTGCTGGTCTTAAGCTGAACAAACAAATGTATTCAAACTCAGTTGTATTTTAAGTTAACATCTCAGAGCTAAATAATGGTAATGAATGAAGAAAATAGTGTCCAAATTTTATATATTGCTGCCACCACATGTCTTTTAGAGTGTAAATAAAAACTTAAATTTGCATTTTCAATAATTAAACACTGAATAGGCCTATGCTGTTTTTATGCAGGTTCATATTTTTGTTCATCTTAATTGTCCTATATGTGTAGCACATACTTTCTCTCACAAGGAATAAATCTTGGTATGTAGTGGCGGGGTTCCACATACAAAAATAAAGTTGATTTCATAAAATTGTAATCACGTTATAAAAAAATGCTAATGCTACAGTCTCCAAACATCATCTTTCTGATAAAAGGATTACTCATTTTATTCTAGTTGGGTTAATTTCTACATTTTTCTCTCAAATGCATTTATTCTGAACAAACATAGCCATAGATTTCACATTAATTGGCAGCCAACCTTCCTGCACAGATGTTACTTGTTTCTCTTCCCTCTTTCTTGTAGAAATAAACATATCTGCGGAGGATCATTGATAAAGGAAAGTTGGATTCTTACCGCCAGGCAGTGTTTCCCTTCTCGGTAAAGTGTTTCTGAAACCAATTATTTGTTTGAGCATTTAAAAATATGCATGGCTTCCACTTAGCTTTTAGACTTAGTATGTGTATTTATTTAACAGAGATTAACCAGCATGGGGTGAAGACACTAATTTTTTTTTTTTTTAAGATTTAACTAACAAAACTTTCTTTGACTTAATTATACTTACTTACTCGGTGCTGCTTCTATTCACCTTTTCCCACAATTGGCATTACTCTAATTTGAGGGGAAAGTTGCTAGAATTATGCAAATAATTTAATTACAACCTCTTGCACTCTATATTTCTAGATACAAATTCTTTTTCTCTTTTTGTTTCTTTTTATTATTGAATTTAATGGGGTGGCCTTAGTGAATTATCAAAAACTTTCAATCCTCATTTTTGCTTTCTTATGTAGAGACTGCCTCCAGATCATCCTGGGAATAATTTCCAATGAACCAGTCTAGCAGTGGTTCTCAACCTTCTGGCCCTTTAAATACAGTTCCTCATGTTGTGACCCAACCACAAAATTATTTTCATTGCTACTTCATAACTGAAATGTTATTACTGTTATGAATCAAAATGTAAATATCTGATATGCAGGATGGTCTTAGGCGACCCCTGTGAAAGAGTCGTTCGACCGCCAAATGGGGTCGCGACCCACAGGTTGAGAAGCGCTGTAAGAAAAAGATGGGAGGCAGCATTTGTAAGCTAACTTCCTGATTCTCATCAAGGTCACACCGATTTTGTTAGTATAAATCATCCACCCCCATTAAGAAACCAAACATACACACAGCTGAAGTAAAAGGAAACTTTGTAGTAAAATTGCCTGAAAATTTTTTCTCTCTAGCAAAACATAATCAAAATTTTTTGAAACAGCCATTTAGATTTTCATCAGTTTATAAGCCATCCCTTATATGTGCTTTTAGCCATTAGAACTTTGCATAATAAATATGTTGCTGTTTATTATACTTTGAATGAGATTTTAAATTTAGGTGATTTTTCTGTACGTGTAAGGTAAAATAATATATATGAATAATCTTTACACAATTTAAAATTATATTTTACATTTTTTGTTTTTTACTTAGAAACAAAGACCTGAAAGACTATGAAGTTTGGCTTGGGATTCATGATGTCCATGGAAGAGGAGATGAGAAACGCAAACAGGTTCTCAATGTTTCCCAGGTGGTATACGGGCCTGAAGGATCAGATCTGGTATTACTGAAGCTTGCTAGGTTAGTTCCTATAGGAGGTTTTGTATTTTTAACGTAGACTGAAATTGTCAAAGCTCTTTTCACTATGTGGCTATTCTTCTGCTCTCAAGTAGATTTGTTATAAAAACATAAGTCATGTGTAATATATGAATGTATATGTGTGCATAACTAATTTACCTACCATCTACTACAGATTTCTAAATTATATATTACACATTCCCTTTTTCTGTTTTCTTTTTTAAGAAACATGACTTTTTATTCTCTCTAAACATCATATTAAATATTAACACTACATTTCAATCTGTTAATTTTGTACTGAATCCAATCAAGAATACTACCATTATATTTTGTCTTTTCAGACCTGCTGTCCTGGATAATTTTGTTAGTACAATTGATTTACCCAATTATGGATGCATAATTCCTGAAAAAACCACTTGCAGTGTTTACGGCTGGGGCTACACTGGGTGTAAGTTATTTTTCATAAGATCAGGCAATACCATACTTATTTTATTAAAAATTGTATTTGCTTCTTATTTTTCTCACTGGACCCTATGCTCATTAATTGTAATTTTTTTGCACCACTCTAGTGATCAACTCTGATGGTCTATTAAGAGTAGCACATCTCTTTATTATGGGGAATGAGAAATGCAGCCAATATCATCAAGGGAAGGTGACTCTGAATGAATCTGAAATATGTGCTGGAGCTGAAAATATTGCAGCGGGACCATGCGAGGTAAAAACGGAGCTTTTCAAATAAAGCATAAGTGATTAGTAGCATAGTTTTGCATGTTTATTTTGTCTATATTTTTCAAATGAAAATCATTATACACCAACATGTTCCCAGAGAGAGGAATTGGGAAAGATAACCCTGTATTATCTTTGTACTTTTTTTTTTTAACTAAACAGTGATACAATCCATGTTTCATTAGCAGTAAACTATGATGGCATTTGTCTCTAAAAACAACACAAAAAACCCCAAAACACAAACAAAAAGCCCCAATAAACTAATAGAGCCAGAACTCTAAAAGAAGCTGTATAAATGAGAAGTATCCAATAGGATTTTGATATAATAGCTTTAATTGTTCTAATGTTTTTTCTAAATTTATCTAATCTTCCCAAATTCTCCCTAAGTGGAATATATTAATAATTTTATTAAGAAATATCTATCTAACCCAACCAGTGTGGCTCAGTGGTTGAGAGTCCACCTATAAACCAGGAGTTCAGGGCACATGCCCAGGTTGCAGACTCAATCCCTAGTAGCTAGGCACTGTCTTGCAGGAGGCAGCTGATCAATGATTCTCATCATCGATGTTTCTGTCTTTCTCTCCCTGTCCCTCTCTAAAATCAATAAAAAATATATATTTTTTAAAAGAAATACCTGTCTAGTTTTTAACTTTTAAATGTGTTTTTCATTAAGTCAGTGTGTGTGTGCATGTGTGTGTGTTAACAATTTCTATTTTAAAAACCAAAAGGTCAAAGTCTATGACTGTAAGAGCTTGGACATTATAATTTGTTAGGCAACTGTTCTTTCAACTTGGCAGTGTTCCTATCCCTGTTTTACATAGACAAGCTGTTAAACTGTTACTTTAGATGTATTTTTGAATGTAACAACACACTCCTTAAGCCTGGGAGCTGTGGAATTGTAGAATATTATGTGTAGCAAAGCATAGATTGAGTTCAGTATTAGTGAAATGTCTTTTGACTTGTAGGAAATGGCCCAAGTATGGAACATTAATATTTATAGAAATGCATGTGTTAAATATATTGCTCTGAGATTTATTCTTGACAAGAAAGCATTTACTTAGTTAAGAATATTTTAGAACTGCTTAAGATGATATGGCTAGAAACAGATTATATATTTATAACCACTTTTAAATTCCGTTTTTCCAGTAAGTCAGTATTACTGTGTTCATTATAACTAATGAAAATAACAAGGAGAAAGGAATCCTCCCTCCCTTCCTCTTTTCCTTCCTCCCACCCTCCCTCCCTCTCTCCCTTCCGTCCTTCCTTCCTTCCCTCCTTCCTTCCCTGCTAAGAGCCTTGTGAGCATGAAGTTTGAGCTAGACCCAATCTTTGCTATCATTTAAGATGCTATGCACTCACCCCAGCCCTACAGCCATTACTAAAAATGCTTTGGCAACTGCTCTTCAGGAATAGCCTGTAATCCGGTTTATCATCTATACATTCTTAGATTCCTAACTTTAGCCTTGGAGTTTTCATCACATTATCACATACTTGTTATTTTTATTATATGGACAAGATTTGACTTCAGGTTGATTCTACCACTTCTCAAGAATGGATTTATCCTCTAGAATTTTTTTTTCTTTTAAAAAAAAAAAAAACACAGGGCAATAAATCACTGAAACCACTTAAAAATAAATCTCCCAAATGTTTGTAGCATCACATTTAGTAAAAGGTATCCAATGCAAATTGCTTTGAAGATAAAGCAGTTTACTGGTGATTTTATTTTAAAATCAAATTTATTAACTCATGTGGCATGATTTATATGAAGTCTCATAGAATGAACTATTTTTTTCACTGTTTTATATTCTACTTCACCCTTACTTTGATTTTTCCCATCATAGAATGTTGATAGCTCTCTTCTTTCCACCTGTATCACAGAACTAAATTTTGCAGTAGTTTATTTCTATCTCATCACTTTGCTGTTGTGGGAGAATTAAGATAGTGTCAAACACTCTTCTTCATACCAGGTTGCTGAAAGTCATTTATCACAATTGTTGGTGGCTACATAGTTTATGAAAGTGATGGAGAACATTTGTAATGATTATATACAGCAATAGTTTAATATAGGGTGGGGGCAAAAGTACATTTACAGTTATGAGTATGTGAAATACAGTGTTTATTTTTGTATTCTTATATATACAATATTGTATTATTTTCCATACAAACAGCTGTAAGCCTACTTTTGCCCCACCCCATATATGTGAATATAAAAATATACGCAAAAAACCAATCTATTCATCTATCTATCACATATCTATATCTGATGATATAACAGGGTTATCATACAAAAAATGCCATAGAATCACAGGCTGCCTTCCTCAAGGAGGGGTACAAAATGTAAGCATAACTATGTATGATTACTGATGCCGATAGTAAGTGCAAAAACATTCCTTCTTTAAGCCGGGAAAAGCAATATCTAAATAGTAAACAGAATTATTTTTATCAATTATATGTTTTTGTTTCACTTGTTAAGATCATTTTAGAGACAGGATTAGAGAAAGGAAAAAAAGTTTTACAAATAAGAGGAAATTTAATGCAGTTTAATCATTAAACATGTATAATTACAGGTGGTTTTTTGGTGCTTGCATTTATCTACATTTTCCAAATTTTCTGCATTGAACATATTTTAAACATCAGAAGAAAGTAAAAATAAATATAAAAATGTACCTTCTTAAATAGCTATCAGTGGCTATGTGTTAGTATGCATTCAAAAGAGCCAAAATCCACTTTCAAAGATGGAAAATATGTCATTCTCAAGTGAATACTACACATTATAGAACACTTTGAACTTTTGTACTTATCTCAGTCTTAGTTAATTCAATAGAAAGATAATTAATGGTTTAGTACATAAATTTTTTTAATATATATATATTTTTAAGTATATTTGTATTGGTTTTTCACAGAGAGGAAGGGAAAGGAATAGAGAGTTAGAAACATCAATGAGAGAGAAACATCGATCAACTGCCTCCTGCACACCCACTACTGGGGATGTGCCGGCAACCAAGATACATGCCCTTGACTGGAATCAAACCTGGGATCTTTCAGTCCACAGGCTGATGCTCTATCCACTGAGCCAAACCGGCGAGGGCTAGTACATAAATTTTATTTAAATTAAAGTTATTCTCTTTTTTGTATATATGTACCTTTGAGATACAAATCTATATAGAAAATGTTAATGAATCATTCAATTTTATTTCTAAAATAATTATTTGTTGTTGTTGTCACATATCTTCTTCCTAGGGGGATTATGGTGGCCCGCTTGTTTGTGAACAACATAAAATGAGAATGGTTCTTGGAGTTATTGTTCCTGGTCGTGGATGTGCCATTGCAAATCGTCCTGGCATTTTTGTCCGAGTAGCATATTATGCAAAATGGATACATAAAGTTATATTAACGTATAAGGTACCGCAGTCATAGCTGATGTAACTGTGCCTGAAATTTCCTTCAATACAACTCTCTTTTACATGAGGATTCAGAGAACATGGAATTAAAATGTCACTTAAAACAATCCTAAGACACTTGAGTGTCATGTTTGTTAGATACTCATTAATATTTATGGGTGTTTCCTGTTGTTTTGTTTGTGAATGTTATTTTGTAAATGTTGAAGTGAATTAAGGTACATGCGAGTGCAGTAACATATCTCCTGAAGATACTTGAATGGATTAAAAAATGCAAAGGAATAATTGCTGGATGATAAAAGACTTAATGGGAAAATCAATTAATCTCTCTACACTGCTTTCCAAGGTTAGTTTCTTAAGAATGAATGCACCATAAGTTAAACATCATTTTAACCTCACAAAAATAATTTATACCTTGTTTTTTAAAATTGTAACTCAATATTAAATTATAGTACCTTTCATATGCCATACATTATATTTCATTTGTTTCTCCTTACTATGTATCCTGTAATATTAGTATACATACTTTTTATAAGAACTTGTACCCATATACACAAGCCTGGGTACACAGGTGCATGCACTAGAGTTCAAATTGTGGTGTAGCTAATGTAACCCTTAAATATTCTGAAAGAGTACTTACAGTTTTTCCTTAAGAAAAAACAAACAAATGTAAAGACCAGTAGAAATATTAAGGAAAGGTGCAAAATAGAAATGACAAGCTCATCCTGATATATAATCTGCAGATGACCTCTAGGGTTGGCATTGAAGGTGTGTTCATGACCCACAATGTTAAATAACACCTAACCTAGGTAGCTACATATATTTATCATCCTAGTTATTTTATGCAGTTTCTAATTCTTAAAGGGAAGAGGGTGATATGCGTATTAGTGTCATTTCTTCCAAATTTAGGGCCACATTTTTATGTAAGATATTTCTAGATTTATTTTCCTATAGTATTTTTTAAAATCTTAGATGAATATGCAATTGAAGTTTAAAAGTATTTTGGTATTTAAAATGTATTTCAGCAAGGTAACTCTAAGACTTGCTGTGATTGGCTTCTAACTCATCCTCTTTAATTTTTAAAAAGTATTTCAGGGAAAATTTTCATGCCTTCAAAGATTTGCAAATAGCCCCTTTTCAAGTTATTCATTAAAGTATATATTGAAGAGAAAAATTGAAATACTTTTTTTTCTATCTGGAGGTCTTTTAGCCTAATAAAACTTTACTCAAGTAAAGTAAAAATGTAAAATAAAAGGAAAGAAAATGACTTGTCCAAACTCTCTGTATTCAATTTTTTAAAAGATTGAATCTGTTAAATGAGCTATTTTATCAAGATACCTTTATTTGATCTTAACTTCATTTTACATAGATCTTTCCTAACACCACGGGAAATAGTCATTCAAATTTTGTATTCTGTATGATAATAAGTAAATTATCATATTACTGTATTTGTTGTGATTAGCTGAATATCATATATTGTCAAGAAGTGAGATAAAGAGTAATAGAATAGGTTCTGAATTTTTACAAAATCTTCCTTACAGAAGATCTTTAAAAATAATGATTTGAATGATTCAAATCCAGCATTCCCACTTCTCCAACTAGCTTCTCTTGAATGATCTTTATTAAAGCCAAGGATTTTATTGAAGAGTAAAAACAGCATCACCAATAAGCCATCAGACATGTTGTATAAAACAGTTCTCCCTTTGGGAAGTTTTCTTTGTAATAGAGGGAAAAGGGAGGAATTGACAATAAAAGCAAGATGAACAAAATCTGTGTTATTTTAAGTGGCAGGACAGGGTATAATCATATATTTTTATCTGGTGAAGGATACTATTACCTGGGCATTCCTTTCTTAATAAACTACAAATCATGAAAAATCCAGTTTATCCCAAAATCCATTTCATTTTGAGTCATGGATCAAATTATCTTTCAAATTAGAAGTTTTCATTGCTATTTTTGTTTTGGCCGTTTGAATAATGGTCATATGCTGTTATAATTATGGACATTTTCTGATGTCTACCAGGTATAGTAATGTAAAATTAAAATATGTGTCATAATGCCTCTGCTGTGCAGAGGGATGATAATCCTTTTGTATACTTCTTTAATTTTATTGTAAAATATGTATGACTTTTACCTATGTGCTGTGGGCAGGTCCTCAGTAAAATGGTTTCTATAGAACCAATCTCTAGTATCAACAGGCTCTTGCTTACTATCTAAGTGTTTCAAACTGTGGGAAATATGAGACACTGGAAAGCAAGAAAAATAACAATAATGGTATGTGATAGCAAAATTATATTTCACTTATTCCTGTGAATATTTCTTGTTGGTACCAATGGTACTGTACAAAGTGAATGTTATAGCCACAGCATTCTCTTGAAGAAAAAAAAAAACACTGTCAAGAAGTTAAAAATTGCTGTTGGGCATTTTCTTGTTGTTTCAAAACATATGTTTTTAAAGAAATACTGGTTTTGCAATGTAGGGATCATTGTGTAAATAACTTTAATAAACTCTACTACTAAAAAACATTAAAGTGATGATTTACTAAGGTTCAAAAATTGACTACTTTCAAATAATTATATCTCATGTTTATAGACAAACATTTGAAAAACAAAAATAATTTGAATAAAAAGACATAGTGTGAACAAATTACTTTTCAAAATAAAGTCCAAAAATAGGTCATCTTTTAAAGTTCCATTAAGTTCTGAACTAAGAATTTACTAATACAAAAAAAGAAAACATTAAAACTTTCTGGACCTTATAAATCTTGACAGTGTAATTTTAAGTAGATAACTTCCATTTGCACAAAAAGTTTCTGTCTTTAGGAAACTGAAAATGGAATACTGTGGATGTTATGACTGTGTTGTGTGTGTAAATAGGAAACTGATAAGCTGCCTATTCAGTGGTATAGCAGGATGCTTACCCAAAAAGGGAACACTGTGGTTATGACTTGTATATGAAGTGTCTGTAGTTAATAAAGTTGTTATTTTTATAACCATGATTATATTAATATTATTCTTAATGATAATAAAATATTTTACCAAAATGCTTCAATTCTTTTATTATAATGATATATATGAACATATTTGAATCTGCTCTAGTGCTTAATGAAATAAATGACAATCATTTTATTGACAGAGATAACATGCAAATAAAAGGGCACACCTGTAATAATTTCAATAATAAAGATAAATTTTTTAAAAAAGAAATGTCATATAACCTGTTTATAGAACTAAGACAAAAGTTATTATTTTATTTCAACATATATCCACGGCATAACAGCAGTCTTTAGTAAACCATTAATTTCTGTGCACTTCAATTTCTTCCACTGTGCAACAGTCATCCTTCATATTTCCTAGAATGGCGCTATGATATAATTTGCTAATATATATAAAATATTGTCATGAATGATCACCTTCATGTCTTTACTATATCACTCTCTATTACATGGATAATTATAGATGATTCAATTAATTAATTTGGAGCACATTTTCAAAATATGTATTAAAGTCAGAATAAATATGAACCAAATGGGTTCATTTGATTCAAATCGCAAGCAAGATTGAAAGGACTAATTATCAATTGATCAAACCAAAAAGAGCCGTAACACCATTGATTACTTCAAGTTATTCTATTGTGCCTCTTCCCAAAAGGGTTGCTCTATTTTTTCTGGTATAGATACCTATCTCACGATTAATGCATCTGATTCTAGAGGCCATGATAAAATATCTGATCTTCTTTATGATTTTAATGCAAGCAGAATATATGCACTTATTAATTTCTGGTGTTAGTTTCTTTAAGAGATAGCATTGAACAGATTCTCGAGCAGTGTAAATATCCAGAATCTGATAAATAAAACTTGGACAATATTTCTGTTAGCTTTTTAATATAAGTTATTTATTCACTCTTACAAACTGTAATGCTTTAATTAGTCACCATTTGTTAGTGTCCCAAACAGAATCACCTTGGTTTGCATTTTCTCAGTGTTTTAGTCCAGAATTTTTATCGTTATTCTATCCATTATTTTCCTACACAGACCCATCCTTAATCAATACAGTCAATAGAATTTTACCAAATTACAACCCTTTCATGTAAAATTCAGAATAAAAGTCTTATTCTAGACAGTCTATTTTTCTTTTGCACCTTACATTTACAAATATCTTCATTGCATGTATTGTTTAGGAAAGCTGAAATTTAAAAGTAACCTCAAGATAAAAATAATATTGTAGTAAATTGAACAAACTTTACAGGCAAGAACATCTTGCCTAAAACACATCTAAGCAAAACAAAAAATACTGAGCAAATGAAAAACACTTCTACTTTTATATATTTGAAAAGTGTTAGATGATACATTATAAGTATATGTATGCTTTAAAAAGGTAAACAACAACATCAAACAAAACAAAAACTATCAATCTAACTTTAACTCCAAACTAGCTTTGGACTCTCATCTCTCTCAAATACTCCTGAACACCCATCACTTTATTTCATCATTGGGAACAATACTTTGCATTTAGGTGTCATGGCTGCATTCAACAGTCCCTGTGAACATCAAGCTTTTCTTTAATTCTCCAAAACCTTCAACTGTCATGTAACTTCTTCTGTGAATCCATCCTCAGCATCCTCATGTAGAAATCATACCTTCCCCAGATTACAGCTGGGTTTGCTAAAGCTTCTTGGTCACTTGTTATAATAGTCTGCCTATAACTACATGAGGTTCTTTTTTTTTACTTTGTATTTAATGTGTAATCTACCTCCACCCCATTTAAACTCTTTGGAGACAACAGCAATGTCATGCTATTAATATTTATATATTCTTTATTTTGCAGAGTGCTTCACACATAATAATAACCTATATATTTTATAATTATTCAATAATCTATCATCTTTTTGAAGGCTTATCAGTATAACCCAGAGATTTATATTTGTAGAAATTACACAACTCTCATTGAGGACTTAGAATTTTAGGATTTTGTATTTAATTGTATTATTTAGATTTGAAATAATAAATGGGACTATTTTTAAGTGGTTTATTATATTTCAAATACTAGAAGATATAGCTAGTAAAGAAGGCATTAACTCTAAAGATATAATATATATATTTGTAAATGTGGTTATCTACACTAATAAAAGACAAAGGTGCTAATTGACCGTACCTTTGCTAACCCAAGCCACGCCCACCAGCCAATCAGAGTGACTATATGCAAATTAATCCAACCAAGATGGCGGCCGGCAGCCTCGGAGCTGGAGCAAGCAGGAGGCTTGGTTACGCCAGTGATGGAGGAGGCCAAGCTTCCTGCCTGCTCTGGCTGGCTGTGGCCTCCACAAAAGGCAAGAAAGTTTCAATTATAGAAGCTAAATAAATCCCAGATACCTGCTTCCAGCCAGCCTCCACTGAGAGCTTGGGTGGCTGGGGGCTGTGGCCAGTCTGCAAACAACCATCAGCCCTCTGGCCAGGCACCCCAGCTGGACCCCCACCCTGATCCAGGACACCCTTCAGGGCAAACCAGCCGGCCCCCACCCATGCACCAGGCCTCTATCCTATATAATAAAAGGGTTATGTGCAAATTGACCTTAACAGCAGAAAGACTGGGAATGACTGGTCACTATGACATACATTGACCACTAGGGGGCAGCTCCTGCATTGAGCTGAATGCTTAATGCAAGAGCTGCCTCCTGGTTGTCAGTGTGGTCCCACAGGGGGAGTTCTGTTCAGCCATAAGCCAGGCTGACAGCTGCCAGTACAGCGGTGGTGGTGGGAGCCTCTCCCACCTCCTCAGCAGCGCTAAGGATGTCCGACTGCAGCTTAGGCCTGCTCCCCGCTAGCAAGTGGACTTCCCCTGAGGGCTCCCGGGCTACCAGAAAGATGTCTGACTGCCAGCCCTGGCCCAATCCCGCAGGGAGCAGGCCTAAGCCAGCAGGTGGTCATTCCCTGAGGGGTCCCAAGACTGCGAGGAGGCACACGCAGGGCTGAGAGATCCTCCTGAGTGCACAAATTTTTGTGCACCAGGCCTCTAGTTAAAAATAAAAATGGAAAACTAGGTCCTAGTTTGTTAATAGATACAGGTGTTTACTCCACACAACCTAACATAGTTTTGTTTACATTGCTGAACATTTCCCATCTAAGTTTCTTGCATGATGTGTCGATGTC